GAGAAAGGCTTTATTTTGACTCAGAGTTCAGGGAGGAGTTCATGGCCTTGGGGAGGCCTGGCTGCTGGAGAGTTGGGTTTGTGGCAGGAGCAGGGAGCAGCTGGTTTGTTCTACGGCCCCAGAGAGAACTGGAACCAGGGTACAACTCTCAAGGCCTGCCTCCAGTGACCCACTTCCCATGTCCCAAAGGTTCCACAACCTGCTAAAACAGTGTCCCCTGCTGGGTACCCCACGTCCCTGTACAAGCCTGTGGAACACACATTGCTCATTCAAAGCCTAAAGCCAGGCTTCCACAAAAGGTGTCCATTTCCCACTCCCTGGCTAAGCTGGCCTAAGGGAAGGATGCACTTTGTAAGCCTCTTCTCATCTCCAAGCTGAGAGACCTCAAAGATGCGGCCAAGAGGGAAGAAGGGCTCTGTTTTCCAAGACAGAAGATGGGCGGCTGTCACAAGAGTATTTAAGTTGCATATACATTTAAGTTTGTAGTTTGTATTGAATATGAGATATATGTCAGTAAAACAGTCTAAAAACATGAAACACTCAAACACTCATATACTAGCCCATCTCTTCCCCAGATCTAAGATGGGAGCAAGATAGTGCTGATAGTTTGAAGAAGTTCTTTTTCTCTCTCTCCCTCACCTCAAAAGTGGCAGAAGTCCCCCCAGAGATCATCAAAACTTCTCTTTTGCTTTCCTGTTTTTTTTTTTCAGAGAGGATCTCATTATGTAGCACCAGCTGACCTAGAACTCCCTATGTAGCTGTGTAGACCAGGCTAGCCTTCAGTTCACAGAGATCTGCCTGTCTCTGCTTCCAGAGAGTTGGGATTAAAGATGTGTACCATCATGCCCAGCTGAGATCATCAAACATTTTCAAACAAAGCTTGTCTACTTTCTTCCAGTTTCTTTTTTTTTAAAAGATTTGTGCCCATGAAGGCCAGAAGAGGGCATGGGATCCTGCAGCTGGAGTGACAGGCAGTTGTGAGCTGCCTGACAAGGGTTCTGGGAGCCAAACTCAGGTCCTCTGTGAAAGCAACAAGCGCTTGGAACTGCTGAGCCAGTCACAAAAATAATGCATAGATGTTGTATGTGTATGTGTTTTTGTGTGCACACGTGGAGCACAGACACGTGCAGGCCAGAGAACAATGTTTAGCGTCTTCTTCTGTCATTCATCCTCCACCTTATGTTTTTTAGATAGTTGTTCGTTGAACAAGGAGCTTACTGATTTGACATGACTGATTGGCCAGCAAGACCAAGGGCTCCTCCTGACTCCATCTCCCTGGCACCAGGACACCAGTGAGCACCACCATGCCTGGCTTTCAATAGTGCTAGGGACCAAACTCATGTGTCAGGCTTTCGAGCACTTTGCTGACTGAGCCATCTCCCCGCCCCTTTGTTTTGATTCAGGAACTCGCTCTGCTTTCAGGGATTCAACAGTAATGGGAACACAAAGTTGGAGGTGGGTGGAATCACGGAGTCCCCGAGATTGGACTTCGCATCCTGTATTTATAGCCAGAGGCAAGCCTGGAACAAGTAGCCTCACAGCTCTGAAACATTCCAGATCCACAAGTTCCTAAAGTTCTAAAGTGTTAAGGTCAACAGGTAACAATGGATTCAGAACCTGTCACATCACTCAAGCTCCCCGCAACCCCAATGAATATTAGGAACACTTGAATGAGATGCAGACTTAAGAGCTTCTCTATCTCATTAAAGCAGCTGTGACACGGGGCTGAAGAGATGGTGCAGTGGTTAGAGCACTGACTGCTCTTGCAGAGAACCCAGGTTTAATTCCCAGCACCCACAAGGGCGACTAACAACCATCTGTAACTCTAGTTCCCAGGGGATCCAACACATTCTTCTGACCTCTGTGGGCATTGCACCACACGGGTATACATATAATATACAGATGCAGGCAATATACTCATACACATTAAAAATAAAGTATTTTTAAAAAGATGTGACACACACACAATAAAATACTTTTAAAAAGCTGTGACACACACACACACACAGGGTGGGGTGGGAGAATTTCCTTTTAATGAGAAGAGTTAGTTTTTGGTTTCTTTTAATTCACCTCGAGTTGTATTCTTTGTGTATGTATGTGAGTATGTGTGTGTGTGTGTGTGTGTGTGTGTGTGTGTGTGCATATGGAGGCCGGAGGTCAGTGTTGGGAGACCTCCTTTATCGCTTTCTATCTTACTTCTTTGAGGCAGGGCTCATCCTGAACTGGAGCTCACATTTTGGGGGGCTTTGTCTGGAGTCAGTAGCCCCAGCAATCATCCTGTGTCTGCCCTGTACAGTGCTGGGTTATAGGTGCGGTTGTGACCACATCCATCTTGTTACATGGGTACTGGGATCTGAACTCAGGTTCTTATAGTTAAGTACTCTTAACTACTGAGCCATCTCTCCAGCTCCCCACATTTTTTTGAGACAAGGCCTATGTAGCCTAGGTTAGCGTTGAACTCAGTATGGAGGCAAGGTTGGCCTCAAACTCATGGAGATTATCCTGCCTCAGCCTCCTGAGTGCTTGGATTGTAGGTATAAGGCCACATTCCATGCCTCCCCAACTTCGTCCAGTACAGAGGATGCAAGCACTACACCACTGAGCTGAATCCCAGGCTAAAGTTGTACTTTCTATTTAAAAAGAGCTGCAGCTCAGTGGTGCAGCATGTGCCTAACATGCAAGAGGCATAAACTACAAATTCAGTCATTAGAAAGTATTCTCTCTCTCCATATATATGTGTATATGTATATATATATATATAACATTGAAGTCTTTCTTATTTATGTTATCTTCCTGTGATCGAATATAAAGCCAGACATACTTCACAGGCTTTTAAAATAATGAATTTTTACCCTCATGGGTACATTTTACCCTCATGGGTACATTTTACCCTCATGGGTACATTTTACCCTCATGGGTACATTTACTTAAATTTTAAAAGCAAGTACACAGAGTCAGTGCTAAGCCTTGGCTTTCTTAACGCTGGATTCCCAGCATCCCTGTGGCTCTGAGGACAGCTTTCTTGGCTCTGACTTTGCCTAGCTTCCTCCACAGGCATGTCATGTGTCTGGAGGAGCAAATGTTCATGCAAGTTGAGACCTGGCAGCGACCTCAGAGAGGACTAATTCAACTTGGTGCTGTCCTCTATGTCACACTCCACTGAAAAAATAAACTCAAGCCTCAGTGAAGTGGCTAGCTCAGGGTCACACGGCTGGTCACAGGCAGAACCCAATTCTTGCATCTGTTTGTGAATTCTATGCTCTTCCTTCTAGACCACAGTGGCCTTGGGGCTGTACTGGCTGTCTGGTCTCACAGTGATTTTAGAGCCATCACATCCATGGACCACTTCCTTTCTACCATGATGCCAAGGGGCCTCTTCCAAAAAGGAGCAGCAGGCAGCCTGTCACACTTGTCAGCACCTCCTCATCTTTAATCCTAACCCTGATCCTGTCAAATGTCTGAGATTAAGAGCAGTGTGTGTCCAGTGGTGAGACAGGGAATTTCCCAGCTTCAGCCTGGGCTAGCAAATGGGGATGGCAATTCAGAGAGGTGTAGACTGTGGTCTACACTTCCAGTCCCACAGGCAAGCATTCACTGAAGATTAGTTAGAAATTCAAAAAGTCTCTACAGTGAGCTCCTTGACATTTTGAGAAAGTGGTCTTCCCCTTGCCTTTACCTTTCACCCACTTCTGCCCCTCCTCCCCATCAAGGTCTTCATAGTTCTGCAGACAGGCAAGAGAGAAGTCATTGCAGATTTGTTCTCTGTGGGCACAAGAGACTTTAGTTTTGGGCTTCCATTTCTCGTTCCTCAGAGGCCAGGATTGATTGATATTTCCTTTCTTTCTTGTTTTGAGCCGGGTTGGTCTGGAACTATGAAGTCCAGGTTGTGGTGATTTGTGGTGATCTTCCTGCGGCTACCTCCAGAGTGCTGGGATTACAGGTATGGGCAAGGCCTGGATGTTCTGTACCACTTGGGGGACCCTGAAGTAGTTTTACAGTATCTTCTGTGACAGGACTTCAAGGCCGTTGAAAGGACTGGACTTGGGTCTAGGAAAGAGAGCATCCGCCCAAACACAGCAGAAATGCAGGGAGCCCATTCGTTTTCCAGCTACAGTTCCCAGGACCCGGGGTGGGGGGCTGGGTCCTCCTGACTCACCCCCTCGGTCAACAGCTGGGCGGGGCCTCCTCCAGGTTCCCTGGCCTGGCTGAGTGCTTTTTCCATTATGCCAGCTGCGCCTCGGTAACCCCACCTCCAAAAGTGCTAAGGAAGTTCCCTCCCAGTGCCTACCCAGGCAGGGTGGGGCCTTTCCATGGCATGGAACAAACCGGGAAAACCACATATTCTAACTGGCAGCCTACAAAGGCTGCTGGCCGTGGGAGCGGGGGTGGGAGGACGCGAGCTAAGGCAAGTTGGCCACCCCGCGCTTCTGGGGCTCAGGGCAGAGCCGGGAGATTGCCTGTTTGGAGAGGCCACCTTACTCCGCGGGTGTCCCCGGGGCGGTGGCTGCATGGGGAGGCATCCCCCCAATGAGATGGCCTGTGCGTGCTCTGGGTCTGAGTGGGCAAGTTCCTGCCCCGTCCCTCCCCTGCTGCTGCCTAAGGAAATCTAGGTGGTACGCCCCTCGCCCCTTCCCTTCCCGCCTTTTCCGCCGCCCCCTGTACTTCCAACGGGTTCCACCCATTCCAGCATCCTCAGCCCCCCAACTTTGGGAGACACGTTCCAAAGCTAGCCCGAGAGACTGCAAGCTAGCCCAAGAGAGAGAGCGCGGCGGGTGCCCGGCCTGTAGCCGGAGCTCAGGCCGCCCGGCATTCCTCGGATTCCAGCGCTGTGACGTCCC